ACGTGCCACAAGGTCCCCAAACGACCTTCCGCATATTTTCAATTCAGGGTTGTCCTTCTCCGAGATTAGTTTACATCCAAAGCTATAGAATCCAGTTTGTCCTGCTATTTACTATTTAGCTGGAGGGAAAAGAAGAGGATTCATACTTTTCCCAAGGATATTAGCACGTAATTCGAACTCGGCTCTCCGATTCCTCAATTCAAGTCGATATCCATTACTCCACAGTGCCTCTAGTATGTGCGTGTGTGTGTATATATATATATATATATATGTGTGTGTGTGTGTGTGTGTGTGTGTGTGTGTGTGTGTGTGTGTGTGTGTATATATATATATATTGGGGACCTTGTGGCATACATTGCCGTATTCGGCTCTTCCAAAAAGTGTGGTTGGTTCAGGACAAAGTCTTCACCACTATAATCAAATTATATGTGCAGGTGTCTTGCTGTCGATTCCTAGGAATTGCTTGACTCTCATACATCGAAAACGAACCGCTATATATATATTGGGTGTAACATCAAAATTGTCCAAATCTTGTGACAACAAACCATTTCAGTTGCTAAGGATGATTAAAGATATCTTACTGGAATTGTTCGACAATATAACGCTATTGAATTCTACTTTGAACAATAAGAACGTATTTAGCTCTAAGTTGAAATGATGATCCCTCTTCCTGTTGTGACCTCCTGATCCCGTTTTCCTCTCTACTGTTCCCTCTTTTTTAATTCTATTCACCATTCTCTTGATGGTTCTTGAATAGACTTTGAAGATGGAAGCTAGTATATGAATGTAGATATCATTACTGAAGGCCTGAATGATCTTCTTCCTCTTTGTTCAATTGGAAAGACATAGTGCGGCTGACACAAAACGATTTTAACCTGTTCTTTTTCTATCTGAATAACTCAGAGTATTTTTCAGTGATTCTTACGACAAATGGTTGTCAAGATGGCTGAACGGCAAAAATAAACTCAATTAGTTTAGTGTATTTTTTAGATATTTACATATTGTGGGGTGGACAATTATCCTATCCTGTAACACGACTTGGTCAATTTTGATGCTACACCTGGTATATATAGGAGTATATAGGTTCGTCTACCGTCCGGTTCACACTCCTTTCAGGTCTTTTAAACAAAAGTAGATATTTATCACTTTTTCCCTGTTTAGGATCGGGTTTCTGGTTCCTTTTTCATTTCATTCTTTTCAGTCTCTTTCACTCTTAGTAGCGTTGCTTGTTAGTAACATGACGAAATTATAAATATGACAAAAAGATTTTATAAGAAAGTAATATAAAATAATACGATACACAAAATTTGTTTATTGCACTTTCCCCTGAGGCGAAAATGTAAAAATATATATATATATAAATATGTAAATTAAATAAATGGTTAAAAAAAACATCGTAGATAAAGAAATAAAGAAATATAATAACAGTCTAGGTTTGTTTATTACACTTGATTTTAGGATAAGTGTTTTTAAAAGAAAAACAAAAAGAAAGCCAGACGGTTAATAAAAAATATAACTAATTTGATGTGAAACATTTTCAAATTTTCTAAAAATAGAGTGGCTCAAGCAGGAACCACCGATAATAAGTCGGTCAAAAACTGAATATCTTTTAATCCAATTTTCAAGTTTCAAAAAATATACACCATTGTATTTTTTTTTAATCAGTTAGGAGGTTGGCTTCCACCCACGCAAATTTAAAATCTGAAACCCATTTAAGATCCGACTGGAGCCTATTTTGAAAATATCTCAAAACTCAAGTTGGCAGAAAAAAAAATCAAATAATATAGAAGGTAGAGGAATACCAGATTTTTTTTTTTTCAATCGAGAAATCCCAAGTAAGGCAGTAAAGCCACTAAGACACAAGGGGTTACTGAGTGTGAAAGAATTAGAAAGCATAAACATTACTAAGGAACGCGAATAATAGAAGAGTAATGAGTAACAATTTGTTTTATCGTCAATTTTTATTATTATTATTATTATTAAGAGGACCGATGAAAGGATATTTTCATGTAAATTAATATTTTAACGCTGTTTAGAACATTCAAAATTTCTGTTAAAAATCTTTTTTTCTGTCGCCAAATGGGGTACTTATATTAGTATGGTAAATATGAAAGGTGAAGAACACATTGATGTGGAAATTTAATGAACCTTCAGGACTTTCTCAGTTGTAGTTTATTACAACTGAGAAAGTTCTGAAAGTTCATTAAAAGCTTATAATCGTCTAACTTTCCAAGAATTTCCAAATCAATGTGTTCTTCACCGTTCAAATTTACCATACTAATATAAGTACCCCATTTGGCGACAGAAAAACAAGATTTTTAACAAAAATTTAAAAGGTTCTAAATAGCGTTTACATGAAAATATCCTTTCATCGGTCCTCTTAATAATAATAATAAAAATAAATTTGACGATAAAACAAATTGCTTTAAAAATCTGTTTTTTCTTTGTTTATGAAACTCACTAAATATAAACGGTGAAAAAAAAATGTTTCATCATGTGACATTTTAATTTATTGTCATTGTTATAAATAATGTCAAAATAATAACTTTTCTTACTTTCCTGTCCCATAATTCAGCAGGGCCGTAAGGGCGACTCATGGTGGCTTGCTCAACAAGCAACCTCTAATTGATTCGGTCATCGGCTATCGACTGCGTCTAAGTAAAAACTTCCGTCTGACGTTTCCCGACCATCACTTTCTTTGGCGTCTCCTTCTCCTTCCTTTTCAGTCGCCATCATACCGTACTGTCATGAGTTTGGTATCTTCCAGAACTGAAGCTTGTAAAAGCATACATGCTGTCGTCCATGGCTCAGAATGATTTCTTTGGCTATTTTGTCAGTAGAAAATGATCTTGTAAAGAAGATAGGTGTGGAAATTGCCATGAAAAGATTTACGCGTTTAAAGGCTTCCTTAGGAAGGATAATGTTTTCTTTAACTTGTATTAAGGTGTATATTGTAATAAATGTGCTATTCTGCATTTTCAGTTTTTCTCCTAGCAAAATTAAAAAAATATATATACTTGTAATGGCGCTGAAGTTCAGCTTACCAGGTGTGCCAGCAACCCTAGGAACATCACTGTATCGTTCCTTGTAGAATGTTATTGGAGAGGCATCGCGATCTAGTTACGTGGCTATACCATTCCAGCTTCCTTTTCTTTATAGTGGACAACGCGCCTTTATTGCCATTTATCTGATGTTTCACTCTTCTGCACGATCGATGTTGGAAATACAAAGCAAAAGTCTGAAATAGCGTCGAGTACATTCCGAATTTTTATTATGACTTTGGCATCTTTTCACCATATATGTTCATTTTTAGCAAATATTTGCAGGTACCCACTTTTCAGTTATTTTCCTTTTCTTTGCTTTTCTTCTTCTTTCGTCTGTTTCTGTATTTTTATTGTTTCACCTTTTTTCTCTTCCTTTGAAATTATTTTCTTTCTTTCTTTCTTTCTTTCTTTCTTTCTTTCTTTCTTCCTTCCTTTCTTTCTTTACCTCTAAAATTATTCTGATTCATCCATGCTTTCTTTCTTTCTTTCTTCCTTTCTTTCATCCTGTCTTTCTTCCTTTCTTTCTTTCTTCCTTTCTTTCTTCCTTTCTTTCTTTCTTCCTTTCTTTCTTCACCTCTAAAATTATTCTGATTCATCCATGCTTTCTTTCTTTCTTTCTTCCTGTCTTTCTTCCTTTCTTTCTTTCTTCCTTTCTTTCTTCCTTTCTTTCTTCCTTTCTTTCTTCACCTCTAAAATTATTCTGATTCATCCATGCTTTCTTTCTTTCTTTCTTTCTTCCTGTCTTTCTTCCTTTCTTTCTTTCTTCCTTTCTTTCTTTCTTTCTTTCTTTCTTTCTTTCTTTCTTTCTTTCTTTCTTTCTTCACCTCTAAAATTATCCTGATTCATCCATGCTTTCTTTCTTTCTTTTTTCCTTTCTTTCTTTCTTTCTTTCTTTCTTTCTTTCTTTCTTTCTTTCTTTCTTCACCTCTAAAATTATCCTGATTCATCCATGCTTTCTTTCTTTTTTCCTGTCTTCCTTATTTCTTTCTTTCTTTCTTTCTTTCTTTCTTCCTTTCTTTCTTCACCTCTAAAATTATTCTGATTCATCCATGCTTTCTTTCTTTCTTTCTTCCTGTCTTTCTTCCTTTCTTTCTTTCTTCCTTTCTTTCTTTCTTTCTTTCTTTCTTTCTTCACCTCTAAAATTATCCTGATTCATCCATGCTTTCTTTCTTTCTTTTTTCCTGTCTTCTTTCTTTCTTTCTTTCTTTCTTTCTTTCTTCACCTCTAAAATTATCCTGATTCATCCATGCTTTCTTTCTTTTTTCCTGTCTTCTTTCTTTCTTTCTTTCTTTCTTTCTTTCTTTCTTTCTTTCTTCACCTCTAAAATTATTCTGATTCATCCATGCTTTCTTCCTTTCTTTTTCCTTCATTCTATATCATTCTTCTTAAATCACTTTTCTATCTCTTTCATTTTACTCTTAAGTGATCATTCATTCATTTAATTTCTCTTCCTTTTTTCCTTTCATTTCTTTTCACTTCCATTTCCTCTTATATCGTTTTTTTTTTCTTCCCTTCTCTCTTCCTTTCACCCGTAAATAGTCGTTCATAACAATGAATGAGAACATCTTTTATTAAAAATTTTCTTCGCTGCTATTACGCGGTCTCGCCCCTTTTCCCTTTCTTTCAATTCGAACATTTATCGCGTGTCATGTTTGTATTCAAAGGTCAGTTTTGACAGGAACTACAAGCCTAACGTTTCGTTTATTATCTCCTTGGCTCATCCTACCGGTCTACCAGGCTTTTTAGTTTCATTCTGCACGAAGTCTTGCCCGACAAATTCAGACGGGTTAAAAACTTGACTCCGACCCCAGCCTCATTGTCTTCTTCTACTCACCAGAACAAATTGTTAAGTCAGGCACGATCCTTCAGAATATTAGAATAAAGTAATGGATGATTGAACTGCGAAAACTTAAGAGAAAAAAGACGTTTTTGGAGTTACGGCGCGTTGACTTAATTCTAATCCACACATCTAAAACACAATATAGATAGATAGATAGATAGATAGATAGATAGATAGATAGATAGATAGATAGATAGATAATGAATAATGATTAGATAGATAGATAGATAGATAGATAGATAGATAGATAGATAATGAATAGATAGATAATGAATAAACTTAGATAGATAGATAGATAGATAGATAGATGATGAATAGATAGATAGATAATGATAAGATGAATAGATAGATAGATAATGAATAAGTTTAGATAGATAAACATAGATAGATAGATAGATAGATAGATAGATAGATAGATGAATAAATAATAAACTTGGATAGATAGATAGATAGATAGATAGATAGATAATGAATAAACATAGATAGATAGATAGATATAGAATAAACTTAGATAGATAGATAGATAGATAGATGATAGAATAAACTTGGATAGATAGATGAATAATGAATAAAATGAGATAAATAGGATAGATAGATAGATGAATAAATAGATAGATAGATAGATAATGAATAAACTTGGATAGATAGATAGATAGATAGATAGATAGATAGATGAGAATGAATAAACTTGGATAGATAGATAGATAGATAGATGAATAAACTTGGATAGATAGATAATGATAAATAGGATAGATAGATAGATAGATAGATAGATAATAAATAAACTTGATAGATAGATAGATATAGATAGATAGATAGATAGATAGATAGATAGATAGATATGGTAACGGTAAAATTAGTCATTTCATTATGATAAAACATTCGGCATCCATTGACCGAGCAGTCAATGAAAATGTCGAGTGAAATTTATAAATCGTTATAAAAAACAATTTTTCATAAAAAAATTTTTTTCTGAAGTTCACTAACGATTCCTTCCTAATCTTTCGTTTGAAATTGTGTGGAACGTTACCATCTTGATTATATCATTATTTTATCTCCCAGTTACATGTGCTATCCATTTTAGTTGTTGCTGCTGTTGAAAGTCCTCAAATGATGTGGTTTCTGCTATTTGGTACATTTTTTTTTGTGATTCTGTAGCGCTAGTCCACAATGTTCAATAAAGGATGGTCTTTGCCAAGACCCTCAGTCTGCACTGGCTCAAAGCCTTTTTTCACACCTCAAGTCCTCAATTGATATGGTTTCTGTGGCTCTGTTGCGGAAATTTTTAAGAAAATAATATTGTAAAATCAGCTGGATGGATTTCCTTCTTCTCTCATCAAAGTTCGGCCAAAATAAAGTGTAAAACGACTAAAAGAAAGAAGGATAAATAAAAGAGGTGCACAAATATCAATAATATCGTGACACATGTATATTTAGTGTGTTGGCTACTTCTATAATTAATGTATAGAGTTTCTTACTTTTCTTTTACAATACATGAATTAATGTTGGCGAAAAGGAACATGGTCAAAATAACAGTGATCGATTGATTTGCAATGCAAGATTAGATTTATTTATCAAAAGGAAAATTTAAGAGTTTCTTTCCTTAGAAATAAATTGAATACACAACGAAAATTGTTAATGAATGTATCTGAGTGTGATTTGCCTGTGTATTTGTGTGTGAAGCGTCCATAGTCTGTTTTTGCTTCAGTGTATAAAGTTGATGGCATACATTTCAAAAGTAGGAACAACAGGAAAAGAGTGCTACTTAAGGGTTCACTTGTTTTTATACTACCCGGTCTGCTGTTGATACTATGTTTATTAAGGGCTGCTGCTAATACTATGTTTATTAAGGGCTTCTGCTGATACTATGTTTATTAAGGGCTGCTGCTGATACTATGTTTATTAAGGCACTACTAATATTTATGTTATGAATATATCACATTGAGAGCCAACAAACATTGCATTTATTTACAAAAAGAAGATGGTTTCAATTTAATATAAATCGTTTCAAGAACTTTCAATTGACAGTCAGAATGTAATGCACTCAGGACTGTAAGCATATCCACAAGGAAGGACGATGCGTATTGCCAATTTTTAACGGGATGTTCTGTGATTTCAAACCCGGATATGACATAATACTTATGCAAATTTTTAACTCGACCTTTCCTAGTGTCGACCTTTCCTTGTGTCGACCTTTCCTAGTGTCGACCTTTCCTTGTGTCGACCTTTCCTAGTGTCGACCTTTCCTTGTGTCGACCTTTCCTAGTCGACCTTTCCTTGTGTCGACCTTTCCTAGTGTCGACCTTTCCTTGTGTTGACCTTTCTTATTCGAATTTTACTTGAGAAAAAGTTTTCCAAACATTTTTGATTAGTATCATCATAGTTTTGTGTTTGGTTTTGTTTTTTGTTTTTTTTTGTTTTGTTTTTTTGTTAAATCTAACTTTTAGACTGTACTTTGACCTTCCTCAAGGTTATGTTCCATCCGACATACAACAGAACTTGAATTTTGTATATTTTTCTTTCTTTAATTTTTTTTTAAACGAAATACACTTAGAGGCTTGTTTTGTTTAAATTCCTTTAGATAATCATCACAAAAAGTTCGTGACAAACGCCAGTCTGACTAGAATATTATCATATTAATAAATGAAATCAACTAATGTATATATATATAAGGTGGAGAATAGTCTGGCATAAGGCAACAAGAATGGGATTCCCAGTGAGGATCGACAATGCTCTGACCTTTAGATGCATGTGTGAGTTTAATTAAATATACTCATGTTGAAACATTTTTTCAGATTTTATTGATGTAAATCGAATACCAACTATAATGTCATTTATTAATAATGTAGTACAGTGGTGTAATGGATAGCGGCTCGGATAAAGGAATCGGTGAGCCGAGTTCGAATTCCAGTCGAAGCCATTACATGCACTTACGTACTTGGGAAATGTTTGAATCCTCTTCTTCTTCCCCTTCCACAACTATGAGTAAATATCAGGACAGACTGGATTCTATAGCCTTAGATGTGATTATATATGTGATCCTAGATGGTTTAGATATAGCAACCTACTGCGAGAAAAAAATCTGCCTCGTCAGTCATGCATCGAAAGATACATGATCGCCTAAGCGTGTATCACGCATGACACATAACTGATTGACTGAATGTCATTTAATACTATCTTTTTTAATTGAATTTCCCCTGACTCAGTCAACATTAACAGCAATAAAAAAAAAATACAAATGCTGAAGAATTGTGTTGACCCCAAATGCATATTCTGTGAAATAATGTTCAGGTTGCACAGTGTTAGAACCAAGTGAATATAAAACTCGGTTTGATAGAGTGGGTCAATATCTGCATTGGAAAATATGCATTTTTACGTGTAGGAAACTGTAAGAGACTGGTATGAGCATCAGCGAAACCCGGTTACAGAGATAGGAACTGTAACAATTTTATAAGAGCTTACCATAAGCTAATCACCGTGATCAAAGACTGCAAGGACAGAAATTGCTTTCTTATTGAAAATGGCATTACCTGCAGATTGTAATATATCTTTGACGATTTTCAAAAAACTATCAAAATACAAAGACCTTGAAATCGAAATCTCAAAAATGTTGTGCATGAGGACATCAACAACTCCAGTTGTATTTGGAGCCCTCGGATTGATTGGCAAAGATTCTAATAGATTTATTGAAACGATTCCTGGTAGGCCACGCCTTAAATAAATACAAACAACTTCTAGTCACAAGTACAGCCCACACCTTACGAAGGGTTTTCTCTATGAGAAATATGTGATCATAGATGGTTTGTTTTTTTTTTCTTTTTCTTCAATAAATGCTCAGTGGAAAATGTCATGATGCCATTTTTGACGTTAGATTTCTGGTTGTGACCCGGAAAGACATGAAAATACACCAGAAATCAAATGAAATTATTATTATTATTATTATTATTATTATTATTATTATTATTATTATTTGTATAACGAAGAAAGAGAAGAAATAATATCAATATGATATAATAATGTATATTATTTACATTATTCGGACTATTGTCCTCATCTTTGTCGCCATATTTATCACAACGTTTCGGCCGTTGTACGCTCCGGCCTTCTTCAGGTGCTTGGAATGTCGACCTGAACCCTTTATTACGCTCACTGGGGTAGAGTGTTCTAGTTCCACGTGCCATGTTTGATGGATGTCAGTTATCAGTTATCTCCTGTTAATTTCCCTCTGAAAGTTCTCTACTGCCTTAACCGGGTATTGAACTCACTCACTTTGGGTCCTGTAACTGGGAAAAAATGGAAATTTAATCTGACAACGGAAAAGACTGACATGGATAAAATTGTTCTCTTCTATACATTGCACACAAATTACCTCGACATGTCCAAAAAATCATTCAAATCTATATGGTTTTTAGGCCCTTCTTAACGGTTCCACGCGCTGGAATCGATTCCGCATTCCAATATTACCTTAAGAAATCGGTCTTGATGTGATTATATCCAGTGTCTTTTAATCAGGACGCTAACATTCTAACCACCCGAACAAGCGTTCACATTCCAAGCTGTAGTGTCATTAAAAGAAATAAGTGTTTTAAAAATCTATTTTGTCTTTGTTTTTGAAACTTACTAAATATAAACGGTGATAAAAAAAAATGTTTCATGTGACATTTTAATTTATTGTCATTGTTATAAATAATGTCAAAATAATATCTTTATTTACTTCCTGTCCCATAATTCACCAGGGCCGGAAGGGCGTTTCATGGTGGTTTGCTCAACAAACAGCTTCTAATTGATTCGGTCATCGACATCGCCTTGGTCTAGGTAAAAACTTTCTTCTAGCGTTTCCCGACCATCTTTTTCTTTGGCGTCTCTTTCTCCGTCCTTCTCAGGGCCGGCCAATCGCCCGGGTTGCCATCATGCCGTCCTGTCACGTGTTTGGGATCTTCCAAAACTAAGACCTGTAAAAATTTACATGCGGTCGTCCATGTCTGAAGACAGATTAAATTCTTTGGCTATTTTGTCAATAGAAAATAATCTTGTAAAGAAGATAGATGTGAAAAGACTTTCAGATATGAAGGCTAGAAAAAGTTTTTAGGTAGGTTAATGAATATTTTCTTTAGCTTGTATTAAGTTATATAATAAACTCATTTTCAATTTTTTTCCTTGTAAATTTTTCTTTTTAAATTATACTTGGAATGGTGCCAAAATACAACTTGCCCAGGGTGCCAGTAACCCTAAAGCCGTCACAATTCCTTCTTGTACCGTTCTTTGTTATATGGTATTGGAGAGGCCTCGCGATCTGGTTACATGACTATATCACTTCTTTATGGTAAACAACACAACTTTATAGCTATTTATCTGATACTAGGAGTAGAGCCCGGCGTTGCCCGGGGATGTAACAGTAAGAGATAGATCAAGTATCGACCATCATGAAGACTGAAAAATAAAATTGACAAAGATTACTGTTTAAGGTTGACGGACACGTATGTCTTAATTATTTCTTTTTTTTTCTTTTTTTTTTACGAATTGGTCAAACCCAAATTCAAACAAAAACATTGTTTTCAATCATTATGAGTCTATCGATTGAATAGAATTTTATTATAAACAATTGTCTTGTAAATAGAATTTTTAAAGCATTCTGAATGTAAAAATAAAGAAAAAAGTTTGCAAGACAATAAGAAACACTACCTGCCAAAAAGGTGAAGCTTTGTTGAAATCAGTTGAAAAATGTAGGAAATCCGATCCCATATATAAACGAACACACACACACACACACACACACACACACACACACACACACACACAAAACAACCTGGGATTTATAAGTATAACTCGATATGAGTTGCCCCCCTTTCATTCTGGCGACAGAATCATGTTTTATCGTGTTTTCAAGTGGATTTCGTGCAAAAACAATTGTGTTTTCGAATTTTGGGCGCTGTCTGAACCACCGCAAGGTAATTTTACACAGTCCTGTGAAGTTTTGTTGAAATCGGTTGAAAAATGTAGGAAATCCGATCCAATATATAAACGTACAGACACACACACACACACACACAATCTGTGTTTTATAATAAGTAAGATTTCACTCTTCTATGCGATCGGTGTTAGAACTACAAAGCAGATATTTGAAGTAGCGTATATACTCGAGTATCGCCCGAGAGTTTATGGCCAGTTTCTTTACACAAAATATAACTATACAAAGGTTTTTTTTCCTTTTAGTATTTTGAAGAGGTTAAAATCATGCATTTTCGAAGACAATCGCAGTATATACAGGTAATTGTTTTTTACGAAGAGGTTACAAATCATTCATTTTCTTGATCGGTCGCACTATAAACAGGTAATATTTTTTGAAAATATTAAAAATCATGTATTTTCTTTGATAGGTTGCACTATAAACAGATAAGAGGTTAAAAATCATGCATCTTCTTTGATCAGTCGCACTATATACAGGTAATTTTTTTCTGAAGCGGTTAAAAATCCTGCATTCTTTTTCTGATTAATCGCACTATACACAGGTAATTTTTTTCTGAAGAGGTTAAAACTCATGCATTCTTTTTTTGATTGATCGCACTATACACAGGTAATTTTTTTTTGAAGAGGTTAAAAATCATGTATATTCTTTGATCTGTCGCACTATATACACAGGTAAATTTTTGAGTAAATCGTGTAATTGATGTTTTTCTTTATCGCCTAAATTGTGTCGGCATCATGTTGGCAAGGAGGTTTTTTTTTTATACGTCACTTTCAAATGACTTGCATTTTCATTCTCACTGCTATTCACAACCAGCCTCGATCTCGATATGAGATTTAACAAAAGGGTCATTTACTACTCAACTGAATTCTTTCATTTGTCCAATAGCACGCCGAATAAGAAGTGGTAGGAGGTGATGTCACAGAAATCGTGTAATTATTCAACTGAAATATAAGTCTGTTAGAATATTCGACCTGAGTGTGACGATAAGCATCCGGCATCGAAGCCTCTGATTGGAGGTTTTTTGAGGAGCAAGAAATCACCTCTTCACTGCCATATATATATATATATATATATATATATATATATATATATATATATATAAATATACAAACACAAATACTCCATGGTTTACAATTTATTACATTGGAATCGTAATTACAATCAAATTCATCAGACCTACAAATTCAAAAGAAATCGGTAAATATAGGATTATAACTATGGAATATTAGAATAGTGTTTGGGCCTTTTATATTATATTCTTACTATGTCTTCGACATTGAGTTCTACCTGGATTCTATCCTCTTGGAAATTTATGTATTGACCACTGATATTATAATATATATATATATATATATATATATATATATATATATATATATATATATATATATATATATATATATATATATATGCTTTTTTCATTAAATAATATAGACAATATTTGTCTATCTATTTTATGCAAATTCTTTTCATATCGTCTGATAAGATTAATAACATTATCATTGAAAGATGAAAGAAAATCACTATATGGATATATGTTTTTTAATCCAATCTAAGCTTTCGGCTTACATAAGACATCATCAACGATGACAATAACATTACAATAATTTTAATAACATTACAATATATTAAACAATATACGGATATGGCAATAATGATAGTCTGTTTTTGTTTGCATGGAAGATTTCCAAGCAATGAAAAACTCGTGCATACGAGACGCTGGAAGCGTAAATCGCACCGCAGTTCATGACGTCACACATGATCACGCGAGAGTGAAAACGAG